CCGTCTCTACTAAAAATACAAAAAATTAGCTGGGCGTGGTGGTGGGTGCCTGTAGTCCCAGCTACACGGGAGGCTGAGGCAGGAGAATGGCATGAATCCAGGAGGCAGACTGTGCAGTGAGCCAGGATTGCGCCACTGCACTCCAGCCTGGGTGACAGAGCAAGTCTCAGACTCAAATATATATATATATATATATTAGGCTGGGTACAGTGGCTCATGCCTGTAAACCTAGCACTTTGGGAGGCCAAGGAGGGCAGATTGCTTGAGCTCAGGAGTTCAACACCAGCCTGGGCAAATGGTGAAATCCCATCTCTGCCAAAAATCCAAAAAAATCAGTTGGGCACGGTGGCACACACCTGTATTCCCAGCTACCTGGGGGTGTGCTGAGGCAGGAGGATCACTTGAACCCTGGGTGGTCGATGCTGCCAAGAGCCAAGATCACACCACTGCATTCCAACCTGTGTGACAAAGTGAGACCCTTTCTCAAAAAAATTAAGATATCATAGCAGCCTTGGTTGGGAGACACTGGGTCTGTTGTAGAATGGAGAGGATTTTTTGTTTTGTTGTTGTTGTTTACACACAAGCTGTCACACAGTGAATTGTCCTGTGATTCTAGGTCTCCTCCAGGGGCCGAAGGGGACTGAGGACTTCAAGGGAAAGAGTTCTGAGGGCAGACTTTTCTCTCCACCCTGCTGCTACAATGTGATTTCTGCACATTCACACACATGCATGCTAAGCAGTGGTACGGCCATGCTTCTCTCATGACAAAGCTTCACTCAGGAATTGTGCTGAGAACACCTCTGCTTCTAGAGTTTCCCAATAATAGGACACGTAAGTGTCCAGAAGATTCATGGCTTTTTACCTCCCAGATCTTGAATCTGCACCAGTAACCTCTTTCCTGCAGTAGCCTAGGCTTCTGGATCACCTGACCATTTTATCTCCCTGCACGCACACATTTATAAGTCAGAGCTGTCCTGCCTGGGCCAGCATCTGTAGCACTCCCAAGTTTATGTAGCCTCCCAAGTTTATGCAGTTCTCCTGCCTCAGCCTCTCGAGTAGCTGGGACTACAGGCACCTGCCACCACACCCGGCTGATTTTTGGTATTTTTACTAGAGACAGATTTTCACCATGTTAGCCACGATAGTCTCAATCTCCTGACCTTGTGATCCGCCTGCCTCAGCCTCCCAAGGTGCTGGGATTACAGGAGTGAGCCACCACGCCCGGCCCTATTACTGCCATTTTCTTATTGTTTTCTGACTATTTAGTTTCTGTTTTTTAATTCTTTCATGCTGTCTTCCCTGGCGTTTTCTTGAATTTTTGTTTGTTTTTGTTGTTTTATGCCTTCTCTTCCTTTTGTATTTACCCACTACAGTTGTTTTTTTTTTGTTTGTTTGTTTTTTTGTAATTTCCAAGAAACTTATGTAAAACATTTCATAGTTATAAAATCTAGCTTCAGATAACAAATTAACTTTTTGTTTTGTACAGATAGGGTCTGGCATTGTTACCCAGTTCAGATAGGCTCTTGCTTTGTTACCCAGGCTGTAGTGCAGTGATGCATTCATAGCTCAGTGCAGACTCAACTTCCCCAGGTCCAAGCAATCCTCCTATCTCAGCCTCCCAAGTAGCTGGGACTACAAGAACATGCTGCCATGTCTGGCTATTTTTTTACTATTTTTTGTAGAGATAGGGTTTTGCCATGTTGCTTAGGCTGGTCTTGAACTCCTGGGCTCAAGCAATCCACCTGCCTTGGCCTCCCCAAATGCTAGGATTACAGGCATGAGCCATCAGGCTCAGCTGCTGCTTGTTTAAAAAGAAAAAACAGCTTTCTGAGACCTTTAATTTTAGTTATGTACTTATTTAAGAGACAGGGTCCTGCCATATTGACCAGACTGGTTTTGAACTCCTGGCCTCAAGCAAAAGTTAGCTTCTATATACTGAAAAATTAAACAGTCTTACTCCCTTCAACACAGTATTTATGTCACACTCTACATCTTTTTATATCGTATACCCATTAACAATTTATTGAAGCTATATTTAATAATTTTTTTCTTGTAGCTTTTACACCAGCATTAAAAGTGATTTCTGACCATAATTACAGTTTTATAGCCTTCTAAATTTGACCAGGTGTATATGATTTTCAATAATAGTTATATTTTTGTTGTAAGTTAGGATTCCATTACAACTTGAAAAATTCTCATTAACATTTTTTGTAAGTCAGGTCTAGTGATGAAAAATTTCCTCAACTTTTTTTAAATCTGAGATTTTGATTGATACATCATTTCTAAAGAACAGCTTTGTCAGGGATAGTCTTCTTAATTGTCAAGGTTTTTTCTTTTTCTCTCTTCATTTGCACTTCAAATATATGGTTTCACTTCCATGTGGCTTGCATGGTTTTTGTTGGGCAGTCTGCTGATAACCTTATAGGAGTTCCCTTGTATGTGAAGAATCTCTTTCTCTTGCTTCTTTTAAGAATCTCTCCTTGTCTTTGAATTTTGGCTTAATTATAATGTGTTATGGACAATTTTTGTTAGATTCTTCTTGCTATAGACATTTTGAGCTTTTTAATTTAATATCCATATTTCTTCCAAGATTGGGAAAAATTTAAGATATTATATCTTTAAAGAATTTAAAAAAATTTTTCTCTCTCATGAACCTCCTAAAATATGTACATTCTTACTGTTTATTATGCAGTATGGGGCCCAAATGCTTTATTCTTACATTCTTTTTTAAAATTCTAATTAGAAACTTTCAAATGACTTACTTTTATGTTTGCTTTTTTTTTTTTTTACCCCCCTGTGTAACGAAGTCTCCTGTTAAAGCTTTCTCTTTAATATTTTAGATCTCCTATTGTGTACTTCAGCTCCAGCATATCTATTTGGTTCTCTTTTAATAGGTTCTCTTTCTTTATTATAATTGTGATTTTGTTCATACATTGTTGTAAAAAAATTTAGTAATGTGTGACTTTTTGCATCTCATTGAGATTCTTTAAGATAATTATTTGAATTTTTTTTTAGATCTGTGTTTTATTGTAAGTGGTTACTGGAGCATTTTTAATTTCCTTTGGTGATGTTATGTTTGCCTGATCCTTCATGATCTGTGATACCTTGTTTTGATGTCCCTGTATCTGAAGGAGTAAATACCTCTTTCAGTCATTATAGATTAGTTTGGGGAGGTAAATATTTTCTCCTATTGGATCTCTGTGCTGATGAGATTGCAGTAAGGTGCATTGGATCTGGATCACAGTGAAGTTCATGCTTGGTAGACCTGTTATTAGGGCATCAGGCCGTTGTGGATTCTATTTTCTGGGAAGACTGAACTTTCTTCAGGATCTTGATCAATAAGACTGGTGCTGGGGAAAAAAAGTCTCCAGTTATATATGCAGATGACAGAGCTGATACAATCCATGTGAGCAGGCGTGGCTTCTGCTGTGTGGCTCTTGCTGGGTTTTTGGAAATCCTCTAACCCCGTCATTGGACAGGTTCCTAGATGAGCAGTACTGACCCTTGATCACAGCTGAGAGGGTGTGGAACTGATTCATAGGGCTGCTTCGGCATACACAGCTGAGACCAAAGTCTTCAGGTTTGTTTCTGGGTTCATGGCATTTCTCCCTCTAGGTTCCTGGGTGAACAGGACTCTTCCCAGACTTTAGCTGACAGGGACTGGAGGTAGGTTTTAGGACTGCTTCAAGATTCACAGTGGGAATAAAGTCAGCCAGCATGCCTAGAGGGGCACATATAGTGTGCTTTTTGGCAGGTCCCAGGTTAGGAAAAACTGTTTCTGGACTTTGGTTTTATGGACTTGGAGCCAGATTATAGTGCCACATCAAGATCCACCATTAAATAAATGTTGGCAAGCCTACATCCAGGGGCACAGATGGATGTTTCTGTCTGTGGGTTCCTGCATGTGCAAGATTTCTTCCACACCATGATAGATGTGTGCAAGGGGCTAATTCAGAGATCACAGAGAGGATCAACATCTGAAGTCCTTTCACCTGAGACACAGGACACTTGGTGTCTTGGCAGATGGTGCTAGTGGCATAAACAAAACCAAATGGTCTACAGCTGTATTTACAGTGAGAATTAGTCATATTTTATTTTGTAGCTGGGACTGTGATGGGCAAGCATGCCACTCAAGCAAGGTCATGCCCTCTCAATACAGCCCTCCTCAGTCTTGGGTTTACACCCTTTGACATGGATTCCAAAGTTCCCATAAAGTTTCTTTTGCCAGGGCATAACTGCTCCTTTTTTTTGAGATGGGATCTCATTCTTGTCACCCAGGCTGGCATGCAGTGGGGCCATCTTAGCTCATTGCAACCTCCGCCTCCCAGGCTCAAGCAATTCCCCTGCCTCAGCCTCTCGAGTAACTGGGATTACAGGTGCCCACCACCATGCCCAGCCAATTTTTGTATTTTTAGTGTTGATGGAGTTTCACCATATTGGCCAAGCTGGTCTCGAACTCCTGACCTCAGGTGTTCCGCCCGCCTCAGCCTCCCAAAGTGCTGTGATCACAGGCGTGAGCCACCATACCTGGCTTGCCACATTTTTTTAAGTCTATCAAAGTTTTATTTCTAAGAAATACATTTGCATATAACCCAAATATAACAACTCTGGTATTACATCAATACAGCTATAACATTAATGCAGCAATTATATAACACAAAAGTGTTATAATGACCTGGGAAATGTTCATGAATTGTGAGGTGAAAAGATGTAGAAAATGACTGCCTACTGATGCTACCTTTGAAAAAGGACCCATAAAAAATACATTGAATATAAGTTGGCTAAATAAAGTATTAACTGTGGTACTTTCTTACAGATTATGGTTATCTTCTTCCATATAATTTCAATATGTACTAATATTCACATGTATTTATTTTATAATCAGAATATGTCATTATAATTAAATGTTATGTTGTACCATTTCATCAGATCTTCTTATAGTCACATTAAATTATAATGTGTCACATTAAATTATAATCACATTAAATTATATTATATCACATTAAATTATAATCTGAGTAACTAATGTTTAAAAATAGCTGATACATTTGAAATTTAGGCTAAAAAATTTTTTTATTTGTAAAATGTGCTCAGTGTTAACTATTGATAATAACCAAAAACCAACCTAATATTATATGATTTTTAAAATTATTTTTAAGCACAAAATAGACCCATGTTGGGGATGAATAACATGTCTGATTTTGTTAATTTTGTCTACTACTTTTCCCTGTATTTCCTTGTTTCCTTCATCCTAAAATTTTTAAAAATGAAAACTTTAATCATTATTGAATGTTTAAACTACTGAATTTTTTTTTTTTTTTTTTTTTGTTAACTGAAGTAAAAGGAAACATTCTTGTAGAATTATGGAAACAATGTAGTAGGACTTAAAATTGAATGTTAGGAGGTTCTTCGTTTTAAGAGGCTTCCTGTGGGAGAAGTTTCCATCAAACTGCTGTACTTCTATCATCAACATTTCCCAGCGCCTGCTCTGTACGGAGTTCTAAGAATACCTGCTCCAAGGTGCCCTGAGAGAGGCTGTATTCCTCCACATTGAAGGTCTGTTTCACTGCCTCTACTTTGAAAAAGGCCTGAGACAGGGTGGACATCCTCCACAGGTAACTTATAGGCCATTAAAGAGGAACGTCTTTCCTGCTGAGCAGCCTGTGGGAAAAGCTTCAAAATCTCTGTGTGGAGAGCTTCCACCTGAGTAGGTTTTTTCATTTTTTTATTTCTAGTAAAAATCTTTACCAAACTTGTTTTTCAGATGTTGAATGGAACCAATACAACCTAGCGTTCCTGACACCATGATGGCCACACACAGCCTTAGCCTCTGACATGTAATGGGTGGTCAAGAGGGCGCCCCTCTCCTTGTTTTTAACGGTAGCCTGAAGTATCTGCCACATTTGCTGCTGCCCCTCGGGGTACATCCTGGTGAACAGCTCATCTAGAAGCACCACTGATGGGTTCCCCAGGATGCTCAGCACAAAGCATAGCTTTCTCTTTTATCTCTCTGATAGAGTTTTCACGGGAGCCTTAAGTTGCTCCTGGAGCTTAAGAGCTTCCACCAATCATGAAATACTAAGAGCAGCATATTCTTTGCCCAGTCCTTTCACAGCTGCATACAACTCCAGGTGCTCTTTCATTGTAAGCTTGGGCCACAGTGAGTTCTTCTGAGGGCAGTACCCCAAGAACTTGAGGCTGTTGTCATGCTGTTGCTTTACTGATGCTCTGTTGCCTTGTAACACCACCGCTTCTGCAGTTGGCTTTGTGAACCCAGTTGTCATTTTAATGGAAGTACTTTTACCAGATCCACTGTGTCCTACTCATCCCAAAACTTCACCTTTTTAACACAAAAGGAAACATTTCTGATGGCTATTTTCTTCTTTCTTGTTGAAAAGCAACTTTTCTTTGCCTCATAATATTCCTTGTGTAAACAGCTTGCAGTTATGACTGGCTCCTCCTCCAAGTTTGGAGTAGTGAGTGCATTTGCTGCTTGGACTCTTTCAGCTTGAACATCTTCTTCTTCAGGCTCTTCTGGATAGGGATGAGTTTCTCTACGTCGTGGAGAGACTCTGAAAACTGGGTCTTTATTCATTATTTCAATTTCATACTTCATGTCCAGACACCTTATGACAAAAAGGAAAATAACACTCTGAAGGTATGGTATTAAGGTTGTTAAAAGAATGGTTTTATTGACTTCATTTATTCTATTGTCCAGACTGTCCAAGTTTCTCATATACATAAAGTTGAGCTGGATCAATAACATGACATATCCCAGCAAAGTGAAGGAAGGTATGAAAATCATGCACAAAATTAAGTTGGGTTTTTCATACTTAGTTGATACCGGAATTGTGAATACACATATTAAGACAATAAAAAAGCCAAAAGACCAAAAGCCATTATTTTTTCACCACTTGCGAAAGATGAATGAAAGCACATACGTGAGGAATATAAGAGAAGCCGCACAACGAATTATGCATACCGCCAAAACAAACATGAGTTCCCATGGAAGCTGGAATCCCAGAAATACGAAGTAGTAAATTAAATGTATTGAAAGGAGAATCAAGGAGTATAATGGAATGTCCACCAGAGCCTGTCCACACCAGTATCCTGAAGGCCAGAGGCTGAAATCCATAACTGGGACTCAACTTTATTTTTTTTATAATCACTGATACTGCTTATGCTGATATAAGGAGAAATGCAGTTTGTGATCAACAACAAAAATATGGACCCATCTATAAAACCAAGTTCTAGCACTATGTCATCACGAGAAAATGAGGTGCTCTTCATTTGAATAAGCTCCGTGAAGTTAAAAATTTCAATAAGGGCTTTGGTAACAATTCTTTTTTTTTTTTGTTAACTGAAGTAAAAGGAAACATTCTTGTAGAATTATGGAAACAATGTAGTAGGACTTAAAATTGAATGTTAGGAGGTTCTTCGTTTTAAGAGGCTTCCTGTGGGAGAAGTTTCCATCAAACTGCTGTACTTCTATCATCAACATTTCCCAGCGCCTGCTCTGTACGGAGTTCTAAGAATACCTGCTCCAAGGTGCCCTGAGAGAGGCTGTATTCCTCCACATTGAAGGTCTGTTTCACTGCCTCTACTTTGAAAAAGGCCTGAGACAGAGGGTGGACATCCTCCACAGGTAACTTATAGGCCATTAAAGAGGAACGTCTTTCCTGCTGAGCAGCCTGTGGGAAAAGCTTCAAAATCTCTGTGTGGAGAGCTTCCACCTGAGTAGGTTTTTTCATTTTTTTATTTCTAGTAAAAATCTTTACCAAACTTGTTTTTCAGATGTTGAATGGAACCAATACAACCTAGCGTTCCTGACACCATGATGGCCACACACAGCCTTAGCCTCTGACATGTAATGGGTGGTCAAGAGGGCGCCCCTCTCCTTGTTTTTAACGGTAGCCTGAAGTATCTGCCACATTTGCTGCTGCCCCTCGGGGTACATCCTGGTGAACAGCTCATCTAGAAGCACCACTGATGGGTTCCCCAGGATGCTCAGCACAAAGCATAGCTTTCTCTTTTATCTCTCTGATAGAGTTTTCACGGGAGCCTTAAGTTGCTCCTGGAGCTTAAGAGCTTCCACCAATCATGAAATACTAAGAGCAGCATATTCTTTGCCCAGTCCTTTCACAGCTGCATACAACTCCAGGTGCTCTTTCATTGTAAGCTTGGGCCACAGTGAGTTCTTCTGAGGGCAGTACCCCAAGAACTTGAGGCTGTTGTCATGCTGTTGCTTTACTGATGCTCTGTTGCCTTGTAACACCACCGCTTCTGCAGTTGGCTTTGTGAACCCAGTTGTCATTTTAATGGAAGTACTTTTACCAGATCCACTGTGTCCTACTCATCCCAAAACTTCACCTTTTTAACACAAAAGGAAACATTTCTGATGGCTATTTTCTTCTTTCTTGTTGAAAAGCAACTTTTCTTTGCCTCATAATATTCCTTGTGTAAACAGCTTGCAGTTATGACTGGCTCCTCCTCCAAGTTTGGAGTAGTGAGTGCATTTGCTGCTTGGACTCTTTCAGCTTGAACATCTTCTTCTTCAGGCTCTTCTGGATAGGGATGAGTTTCTCTACGTCGTGGAGAGACTCTGAAAACTGGGTCTTTATTCATTATTTCAATTTCATACTTCATGTCCAGACACCTTATGACAAAAAGGAAAATAACACTCTGAAGGTATGGTATTAAGGTTGTTAAAAGAATGGTTTTATTGACTTCATTTATTCTATTGTCCAGACTGTCCAAGTTTCTCATATACATAAAGTTGAGCTGGATCAATAACATGACATATCCCAGCAAAGTGAAGGAAGGTATGAAAATCATGCACAAAATTAAGTTGGGTTTTTCATACTTAGTTGATACCGGAATTGTGAATACACATATTAAGACAATAAAAAAGCCAAAAGACCAAAAGCCATTATTTTTTCACCACTTGCGAAAGATGAATGAAAGCACATACGTGAGGAATATAAGAGAAGCCGCACAACGAATTATGCATACCGCCAAAACAAACATGAGTTCCCATGGAAGCTGGAATCCCAGAAATACGAAGTAGTAAATTAAATGTATTGAAAGGAGAATCAAGGAGTATAATGGAATGTCCACCAGAGCCTGTCCACACCAGTATCCTGAAGGCCAGAGGCTGAAATCCATAACTGGGATTCAACTTTATTTTTTTTATAATCACTGATACTGCTTATGCTGATATAAGGAGAAATGCAGTTTGTGATCAACAACAAAAATATGGACCCATCTATAAAACCAAGTTCCAGCACTATGTCATCACGAGAAAATGAGGTGCTCTTCATTTGAATAAGCTCCGTGAAGTTAAAAATTTCAATAAGGGCTTTGGTAACAATTCCCATAAGAATAGGAAAACAATTCAATGTCTTGGTATTACATGCAACTGAAAATCTAATCCTTCTGGTTATCAGACACTATGATGCCTCCATTGTAGGAGTGATCATCTGAGCCATTTCTGTTTCTGAAGTCATCCATTTCCAAAACTATATTCTGACGCTTCGGTGAATGCACGAAGTCTTCAATATTTGATCCTGGAGCAAAGATGAATAGAAAGCCAAGCGAAATATAGGGGTAGAGGAAGCAGTGGGAACAACCCTGTGGGCACTCTCAGCCCCCAGTGAAGCCATTTTCTCGCCACATTTTTTTATAACTGTAGAAGATGTGGGTAGAGAACCTTCTATTCTACCATCTTGCTGTGTCATTCCCCTTGTATATTTTACTTTCTGATATGTTCTATGTCAAATATTTTTTATTTTGAATTCAAAATGTCTGAAATAAAATGCTCAAATTTTCCAATTGTAGAATAAATGTATTGAAATGCCTCATTCTCATCAGAGCATTTTATTGAGTTTTCTTTTACTGCTGTACTTTGAATGCCAAAGATTCAAAATGCCAGCTCTTTGTATGTACACACAGTTGAAAACTGTATTTATAAGATTGTCTTTGATACATCTATATTAGATTCAATATTTTGTAGGTCAGAATTTTTTATTCTAGTTTTCAACTCCATTTTAGTGGTTTTTAATCTTCAAATTTTATTTT